ACAGGATCGATATGTCTGTCGTTATGTCTTGACTCTCTATATAGGGTCGTGATAAAGTATCCTCATTATTAGGCCCCGTTGTTAGTAAACTCGTGGTGATTAAGGTAAGGTCGATATCCATCGCATTTATTCTTTCTCTCTCCTCCCTTTTTATTTATTCTCACTTATACTCCATATTTTTCATCCCTATAGTGATGTAATCAGCTTACGGCATCAAACTTGTTATTACTAATACTCTATCGGCTCTTTGTATTTTTTTAACAGCTGTTGGTTGATTGGTTTCTTTAGCACTTTCCCATCCGTTGTACATAATCGATATACAGCATCCGATTTGAGCTCGTGCACATAAAATGGCCCTACCTATTTTGGGTCTAGTTTACTACTCCGTGAGTTTTCTTGAGACACCTTATACATTAATACCTTGTCCCCAATGCTAAAACTTTTCTTGTTCTGTAGCCTCTGATCATGCCGCATTTTTAGTTTTTGCTGAGCAGCATTTACTCGCGCCACCGTGTTCTCCCGTTGCTGCAGCAGTATTTCCATTAGGTCAAAAACTCGTTGAAGTATTGTTCCCTCTAATAACTCATCCGTTTCTGTAGGGTGGATCGGGGTTTGTGCTTCCCTTCCATACACAAGGTAAAATGGTGTCATCTTAGTCATCTCCTGTCGTGCCGTTCGATATGCGAACAGAGCAGAAGGTATCATTAAATCCCAATCAGACACATTATTCACTAGCTTCACAATGGATTCACACAATGTGCGATTATACTGCTCTACTAATCCATTCGTCTGTGGGTGGTATGGTGTAGAGTATAAATGGTTGATACGAAATTTCTCCAAAAATGCGTTCAACATTCGACTTCTAAAATTTGCTCCTTGGTCAGATAACAGGTAAGTTGGACAACTATGTCGGCATACCAAATCGTCGTAGACAAACTCTGCAATCTTCTGTGCCGTCGCTTCTTTTAAGGCTCGAGCCTCCGGCCATTTCGTCATGTAGTCTGTAGCAACTACTATATATCGATTCTTCCTGGGGTGATGGGTAAGGGTCCCACGATATCAATCCCCATTTTCCAGAAGGGCTTTCCGATAGGTATAGGATGTAGAGGTCCACATTGCCTATTCTTTTCTTTTCTTTGACATTGGTCGCAGGAGCGTACGTATGTCCAAATGTCCTCATACAACTGCGGCCAGTAATACAAACTCCTAATTTTATAAAACATTACATTTTTCCCTAAATGTCTGCCAAGCAAATGGTTATGCGCCAGGTATAGTATCGGTCCTAGTTCGTGGCATCTTAATACCCTTAGTAAATTTCCTTGTTTATACTTGTCCTTTTTATAGATAGATCCCCCTTTTGCGACAAAGAAATTGCTCTGTGCCTGTATCCATCTTTTCTGTTGTTGCGAGCAATTCTTGGGTAACTGCCGTTCTTGCAGATAGTTCTTCAACTGTCTATATCATTCCTCTTCCATTATTCGTATGAACCTTAGATGTCTATACCCTAGTTAGTATCTATTTTCTCGTTAGTGTTTATTTGCTAGTTAGTTAATTCTTTTTCACCAGGACACCGGAATCTGGGCTGGATTCTGTTCCACGGATTTTTAAGGTTAATATTTTTTTTTCTCTATTACTGTTTTAGTGATTGCTAGTTATATTGCATCGTTACTGTTATATGGTTATCATTTTGCTATTGCTTCGTATCAAATGTTATGAGTTAGTAAGTAGAAATTGTCATTTGAGTTGTCGTATTGATAGAGTGGATCTTTCGTTTGTTCGGTGTGGTCGGGTTTTCCATTGCTAGCACTACTTCCCCCTTTCCTCTCAGTTAAACATGATAAGGCATCGGCATTTGAATGTTTTCTTCTAACATGGTGTAGTATTATATAATTACTGTATATGGTTGGAGGTGGAGGATTCATCGCACCCTCCTACCTTTCAGTTTTGAATTCTCCAGCCATCTTAATGCAGTGTGGTCGGTAACTACTATGAATGGCTTTATATCCAGATAATGGTGGAAGTACTCAACTTCCCATATTACCACTAAGCATTCCTGCTCCATTACTGCGTAATTTCACTCAGCTTTCGACAAACTTTTGCTAGCATATGCGATCACATATTCCCTTTTTGCCTCATCGATTTGTGTCAATACTGCTCCCAGTTCTGTTCCAGATTCATCGGTATGTAGATAAAATGTCCTCTCGAAATCCAGGTACCGCAGAATCGGGGCTGTTGTTAGGTATGTTTTTAGTAACTCAAATGCCGTCTGCTGTTTGTCTCTCCACTCATATATTGCATTTCTTTCCAACAGTTGGTGTAGGGACTTGGCGATTGTAGCAAACCCACGAATAAACTTCCTGTAGTATGAGGCAAGACCAATAAAGCTTTGTAGCTGTCTCACACTTTCTGGGGCTGGAAAGTTTCTCACTTTTATGATTTTATTTTTGTCTGGCTGGATGCCATCCCTTCCTACTACGTGCCCCAAAAATTCCACCTCTGGTAAGAAGAACTTGCATTTTTCTGCATTCAGCTTCAGCAAAGCCTATCTCAACTCTTTGAGAATACAGGTCAAATGACTGATATGTTCCAGGAACATCAGTGAATACACAATAATGTCGTCCAAATAAACGGCTACAAATTTCCCGATGTAGTCGTACAGTACTTGGTTCATTAGCCTTTGGAACTTAGCCGAGGCATTGCATAGCCCAAACGGCATCACCTGGAACTCATATGTTCCAAATTTAGTTATGAAGATTGTCTTTTTACAATCCCTTTCGTGAACTCGGACTTGCCAGTATTCACTGGCTAGATCAAGGTTCGAGAATCACGTTGCTCTTCCAAGAGCTTCGATCAAGTCATCGACCCTCGGTAGGGGATAAGTGTCCTTTTTCGTCACTGTGTTTAATTTTCTATAATCTACACATAGACGTTGCTTACTATTCTTCTTCAGCACTATCACGATTGGAGAAGTCCACGGGCTCCTAGATTCCATGACAAGCCCCTGCTTCTTCATCTTCATAAGTTCATCCCTTATATAGTCATATTCGTCGGGTGCCATCCTGTAGGAGACTTGCTTTATAGGTTTCATGTCACCGGTATCGATTTCGTACTGGATTACGTCGGTCTGAGTAAGCTCCTCCAAACTTCCTGCAAATAGTTCTTTCTCCGTCTCGAAGAGTTTCGCTACTTCTCCTCGTTCTTCCTCTGTTAGGTTGTCCATGTCCGTTTTTGGTTTTCCAATGGCAGACTCCTCCTCTTCTTCCAGCGTCGATACTTCCTCCAGAACGGTTAAGTATATAGCGGGACTAGGGATCTCCATTTCCTCGGTTTCCACCTCTGATGGGGGTGCTTCTTTCCGATCAGTGGTTTCTTTCGCCACACTCTCCTGATCAGTGGTCTCCTCTCCTGATCGCTCCCTGGTATAGTAGCCTTCTTCTTCTTCCATTTCCTCGCTTTCATACTCAAATTCACCATACGTACCTTTACTCTCGTAGTCGCTCGACTCCGATTCATCTGGCTGTACCAACCCTTCAACACCATTGTGTGAGATGGGTACCTCTAGCTCTTTCTCTTGGTATTTTAAAAATATTCTTTGTTCATCAAAATGGATTCGTGCTTTTGCCTTCTGGAACCAATCAGTTCCCAGCAAGAGTGTTTCATCTCGTGACTCGATGACTCATAGTCTCACGGGAATAGTTACTCCTTGGATTGTTATGCCCATATCCTTCACCTTTCCTAAAGTTCTCTCCCTCGTACCATTCGCTGTGACAACAACCGAAGTAGATTTCTCATTGATCGTCAAACGAAGCTTATCTGCTAATTTTTTTGTGATTATACTCACTGCCGCTTCCGTGTCCAGGACAGCTACTATTGTTTTATCTCCCACTCGTACATAACATTTGGCAGCGGTCATCCTCAAAGTGTCCGCTGTGCTCACCTGGTTGATCTCTTCTGGCGGTTTAGCTCTCTTCATTATCTTCAAAAGGTTCCGTCTTTGATCGGGGTATTTCAGTAACTGTGCATACGTGACATTCGCTCTCATCGATAAGATGTCTTCCGAGATGTCATATGGTTCCAGGGAATCCACAACTGAAGGCAGTCTCTTTTGTCTTGATTTTTTTTTGACACCGGTTGCTTCGGGGGATTCCACGATTACCATTAGTTCCTGTATCCTTATAAGTTTTGTTGCTTTTGGGGGCTCACCTATACTCTTTTTGTCTTGGCGGAGTGGTCTTCCTCTCTTTTTTACAACTTGCGAGACATCCCCTAACACGTAAGCCTCCTCTTCCTCTACGTCATCTTTCTCACAATTTTTTCTTTTTTCATAGATATACTGCACCTTAGAACTTGTCGTCTTCCGGGCTTCCCTTGGCGTCTTCTTTTCTGGATACCATCGAGCTATGTGCCCTTCTTTTCCACAGTCGTAACAGACCACGGTTTTCCTTTTCTCCCCTCTCAGTTCTCTTCGCGGCATTCTTCTCAAGTCCGCGTAGTTCAACGTTAGCTCTTTTAATTGTTTCCCGATTTTTCCCATCTTGTCTTCCAACCTTTTTGTCGCGTTCTTGTTTTCCCTCGCAGTTTGCCGACCATAATAGTTTCCTGTCTCGGCCTTTCATGCTGCTGAGATCACTTCGTTCAAGTTCTTTGGAGATGTCATGTTAACAAACGTCGCCGTATTACCTTTTCGTTCATTTAAAAACATTCTTACCACATAGTCGTTAGGAATCGTCTCCTCCGGATCCACTCTCATCAGTAAGCGCTTAAACTGTACTGCATAGTTGTCTACTTTCTCGTCAACTCGTTGACTTAGTTCATTCAATTCTTTCTGCCACTTATGGCGTTTTTCTGACGTGGCGAAATGTTCTATCAGCACGTGACGGAAACTCTGCGTCTGGTCCGTATC